CATTGAATTTTGCAATTACATTTTGATTTTAACATGGACTTTTGCTGCGTATGGCACCCCATAGAAATCAGCTTCCAAAACCAAAACATTTTGAATAAAGCAAGAAACAAAGAGTATGCAATGTAACCATCTAATTTATTTTCAAATCCTCATTCTTGAAAGTGAAATTCTATATTTTGGAAATTTTGCACGAAATCTGTCAACCACGCTGTCATGGTCGAGGTTGCTTCACCTATCACGATGTATTCCAACCATCATGAGCCTTTCTAAATGAGCATTTGTCATAACAGAACGCAAATTATTTGTAATTAGTCTCATTGACTTATTATTATTATTATTATTATTATTATTATCATTATTATTATCGTTGTTGTTGTGATGAAAAGTTAACACAAACAATATGGTGGCTAAACAAATATTACATGTAAATATTTTTTTTTGTTTGTTCCCCGACAAAATTGTATCGTCTTCCCCGACCGGGGTGGGGGGGGCCACCACCACTGAATGTAATGTAAGCTGTCGTAAGCCTTATGTTCTCATACTCATAGCCTTCTTCGTCTTACACGCGCCATTCAAATTACTGCGGGTAATAGTATAATTAATACTAGACCAGGGCCTATACAGCTCAGGCTGATTATCTTCTCCAGTATTATTACAGGTGATGTCTGTGTTACGTCTTGGCCTACACTACAGAGATGGTGATTCAGCATAAGCTGCATACCAGTGATTCATGGATCAGGCTTGATCTGCAAACAAATGCGGGTAATCTTTCCTTGCTCGCAAGAGTGCAAAATTGCTGTCCAAATTTCCTGTGACTCTCTGGATAGGCCTACTTGGGACCCCCTGTAACAGGCCTATGTTAGTGCCTAAAGACATTTTCTTTTTGGTTTAGTATAATTCACTTTTATAATACCAACTCCCTGAACAAAGGCCTACAAACCACATCAGCTGGACCATCGATCTGTAATTTTCCTAAATTTCAGTTTTCACAGATAGATAGAAGTCACCCAGTATTCAAACAAATTTCCCTCAAGAACGGTGAAATTAACAAAATGAGTCGAGGCGAAATTGTAGCCCAACTTGAATCGGCCAAGCTGAACACTCGGTGGGTAGGAGATGCATTTGTTATCTCATGTTGATAATTTGTATGCTACTGTATTTCTAAATGAGCAAGTAAATTTTAGATTTGTCTTCAAATATTTCTTTTGCTATTTTTCAGGAGACAATACACCTTTTAATCTATAATAATTATAAAATGGATATTTTTTTCTATTAATGGTACTTAGAGGTACATCAGATATATTAAAATCAAGATTGAAATCTTACTATAAGCGGCAGCACCTTGGTGAGGCTGGCTTCACTTCGATGCAAAAGGTTGACTATCTCCTTGTAATAGACTTTGAAGCAACGTGTGAGGAGCCAACGCCGATAGATTTTATCCCTGAGATAATTGAGTTCCCTATTGTACTGGTAAACACCAGTACTCTTGAAGTTGTAAGTTTTCATCATATTTAAAATTTTTATTTGTTACTTTTCTTGTTTGTTTTAGGCAAAAATTAGTTTATACACTGTTTGACCATGGAGTTATTATTATTATAATAACTATTATAATAATTATATATTATTATTACCCACCGCACGCCAATAGTGATGATTTCGAATAAAATTACAATTTTATTTTTTGCCTATTAGTGCACCTGCCCCACAAAAGATGAAAATTTCAGAAAAAAGTAATAGCCTTTCTTTATTTTTATTGCACCTGCTACCTTGAAATCACCAAAAATTTAAATAAAAATAAATGAGCCATTCTAGTCTGATGTAATAGAATATAAAACTTGAAAAACATTGAGTACTTTAAAGACTAGTTTATTTGACAGTACACTAGCTTTCGTGCACACAGTGCACTTCTTCAGATGAAAATAAGAAAAGATATTTAACCATCGCATTACTACACTGTTTACATCCACCAATATATTTTGGCAAAACTCTTAGCTTTTGATAAGAAAACAAAATTTTATTTAAAGAGATCTCCAAGGTTCAGCGCACACACAGTGGCTACCACCATCTTAGACCACTGAACCCTTTTTACACGGCAGGCGATCACCGTAATTATTGCGTTTATCTGTTGATATACGTGTTAAGTGGGCGTGTAAATGGTGTTAGTAACTCTGCATAACGGATCAGTCACTGCAATGATCCATAGAGTTACCTTTGCATCGCAGCGGTGTCAACAGAGACCACCAGTGTGATCTTTATGCAAATTAGGTGTTGTTTGACCTTTGAGTCATGGATAAACAGTGTGAATACAATTCATCATTTGCAGAATAGTAGTTAAACATCATGTTTTTATCAATTACATACATTTTAAAACTTTTTTGACAAAGTGTTTCAAGACAAGCAGCAATGCGTGCATTTTTTTCAGGTCCGTTCTAATCCTGGTACAACCGATTATTTTTTTATTGTGTAGATTCTCGACTGGAGATCATCAGTGTTACTTATCTGATAGCAAACGGCCATGCAGACATGGCTTGAGCTAGCTGCTTTCTAATATTGATGTTGAAATTTATAATTTTCCATGATGGGTGTGAATTGAGCTGAAATTAAAAAATATAGACTCAGTTGCCCCAGCATCTAACACCTTAATATTTATTTGTTCTTAAATTATTAAATTCTTCACTAGGTGTAATTTCATTTCAACTGTTTCTATTTTAATGACGATTATATTTAACATCATGTATTTTGAAAAAAAGAAATTATTATTTTGTTTGTTGTAACTACTTAGTAAATGTAACAAAGTTTACAATTTTTATTTTTTTATGATTGAAAATTTTGAGTTTTTCTGCATTGTTTCAGGAAGGTGAATTTCAATCGTTTTGCCGACCAATTGTGAATCCCAAATTAAGCAATTTCTGCACGGAACTTACAAGCATAACACAGGTAGAAACGGTTATGATATTTCTCAAGATATAGGACAGTGATTGTCTCCATCTTTTAGCAGAATATTAATTAAATTTTTTGAAGCAACATTATCATTATCATTACAATTATAATCATTAATATCATCATTATTTCATCATCATTATCATAATCATTAACATCGTCCTGTTCACTATCATCATTACAATCATCATCATCTTCATCATCATCATATCATAATCATCATCATAATCATCATGTTCATGTTCACTATCATCATTACCATCATCATCATATAAATCATCATCATTATATCATCCTTATAAATCATCTTCATCAACATATCATGGTCATCATAAATCATCATCATATTATCATCATAAATCATCATCATATTATCATCATAAATCATCATCATCATCATCTTCATTTTCATCATCACCATCATTATATCAACATTATCATAGTCATTAACATCAAGTTTATGTTCACTATTGTCATTATCATCCTCATGTCCTTGTCGTATTATCATCATAATGAAATTCGGCTTTGTGCTGCTGCTAGTAATTTTATGTAAACTTGAGAGAGGCTGTGAGGTACTGGGGCGGGTCCAGATATTTTCAGGAGGGGGTGCAGAAAGAAGGGAACTCCAGTGTAAATAGCATAAGTTTAAATTGCTTGGAGAACTGTCTGTAACACTCCCATCTTTTGAGAAACTTAAAATCCAACAATAATGTTGAAAATTATTCTCATAAATGACCTCAACCCCTAAAGAAGAATAAAAGCTTCCAACTATTTACCCAACATCTGTACACATTTTTGCCAGCTAAAAGCACTATAACATGTTAAGGGTGAAGGAGGGGGTCCCGGACATAGACAACTATCACCCCCTATGGATCTGCCTAAGAGTATCATTTAAATAATCATTCTGTGAAGCCCAGTCAGCCAAATGCTGGAAGTATTGCCATGTACTGTATAACAAAATATAAAGCATACTGTTGAATACTGCTACATGTTAACTATAATTTTAGAAAGATCTTTGCAAGTTAATGTCAAATTACCTTTTAAATAAAGAAGAACATGAGCCAATAATAATTTTGCTTATAATGTTAAAGCAGGTAAGATAGGCCTACTGGTAAAGAATATGGCAAAAATGAATTATACAATACATGCTAAAATGTTATGATGGATGTAGACTCTCCTATTCATCACATACAGTAATGATTTCTTTTAGTGATTAACATGCCCGTTAACATGGTCACTTTTATAATATATTTTATTCCATTATATTTAGTGAACATATGTACGTTTGTATCAGCCGCACTCACTGAAGTGGTATGTTCCACTTATCTACTACTGTACAGTACATACTGAATACACTGTTGCTGCTTTCTCTGTGCTGTACTAACGTAATTTGAATAATGAATGTGTGGCTTTTGTAGTGTGACAAGCCCTCATCAATATTTTGTAGATTTGTGTTATTGTAAAATTATTTATTTACGATATTTTAATGGACGTAATAGGAAATCAAAATATGTCAATAATGGTAAGACATTTAAAAGAATGGTGCTACGATATATATATATATCCCAGAGCTGTGCAATTGTCTGGATGGTAAATCATCACAATCATTTTGTCCTTACTCAAATTAGTATATGATACAGTATTGATTTTTCTTTATCATATCAACATTGTTGCTCCTGTACAGTAGATCAATACATGTTTGTTGTTGCAGGCAGTCAGGATTTAATGTACACTCAGTGACAATAGTTTAGTCTACTTCCACTTACCTGGATAAGCTGACTAATTGCCTATTCTCTCCCAAAAAAAAAAAAAAAGGAAAAACAAATGGAATACTCGGCCCCTGGAACCAAGTGCAAGCGGTCACGCAACCATGCGTCATCCTTTTTCTTTTAATGTACGCTCAGTGAAGATGGTTATGGTTATCTTTTATTAATGTTCCCTAGAGTATGGTTGATCAAGCAGATGAGTTCCCTGAAGTCTGGAAGAGAGCTTGTCACTGGATGGAGTCAAAGGGCTTAGGAACTTACCATACATTTGCTGTAGCTTGTGATGGGTAAGACATTGAGAGTTTTTTTTTTTTTTTTTTTAACATTTGAAATCATTTTTTAAGTTTACTTCATGTAAAGATTAAATTTACTTGAACATAAAAGAAAAAAGCAAAAAAATGACAGAAATACTTAATTGAAGTGTTATTATTATTATCATTAGCCAGTATAGTTTGTGTGCTTAAATTAATTTGTTACTGCAAAATTAACTTCAAAATTATTTTTTTAAATTCAATTTTTTTTTTATACAATTATATAAATAAAATAATTCAATTTTTATGATTTACAGTATTATATGAATTGATATGTAATTGATTCTTTTGTTATTTTCAGTCCATGGGATATGAATCTGTTCCTGAATGTGCAATGTCATCTCAGTCAAATTCCATTTCCAAAATATTGCCGACGCTGGGTGAACGTTTGTAAAGCTATGAGTAACTTTTATCGCTTACCTCGCATGAACCTTAAAAAGATGTTAAATGCACATCAACTGATGTTTGAAGGTCGCCCTCATAGGGGAATCTCCGATGCAAAGAATATTGCCCGGATTGCCATTATACTCATGGAAGATGGATGCATTTTAGATAGTAATGATACATTTGATCCCAAGTTTTCAACCAATATGCGCTACTAGAATTTTTTTTTTGTTTACTATGAATTTTAAATTATATACACAAATACAACATGGTTTGAGGTATTGCACTCTACTTCCTGAGGTGTTTGATAATTGGGAATACCTCCTGACGTGAAGTAGAGAGAAATAGTACCAGTCATCCAACACCTAAGAGAAGTAGAACTTACAACACTAAAGGCCAACTCAGAGAGCCTCGGCCGACGCAGCCCGACCCGATTTATCGTCGGGGACAGTCAAGCCGTCGTGAGAAATATTAAACATGTTTAATATTCTAGGACGCGACTGCCCCCGACGCACACCATCGCGTCTGCGTTTAACTCACACAGACCCGACGCGACAACAAATCGCGTCGGGTTGCGTCGTACGATGCTGTCTGAGTTGGCCTTAAAAGAAAACCATATTGTATTTGTTTCACTATACCTCATAAAAATTATTACCATCAACGAATGTAGATAGGTCTTGGTCTTATATTTTAACATCTTGATTTTTCATACCAGATGGTCATATATATCGCTTCAAAATATCGAGGTCAAGAATTACAATATTTGCATACAGTTCTTGTTGTCAGGCAGGCAATACAGTAGTCTATTTTAGGTACTTTTTCCCTGTGTGTACATAAATATGCAAGCAAGGGGAAGTAAACAACATACTGTATCGGGTACTAAGTGAAAATGACCAATGAAATGCATTTATTTCCAGATTAATATTTATGAGGTATAGTAATACTGTAATTGATATTTAGATTTATTTAATTGCTTATGTTCATATTGATGTTGAATTAAAGATATTTCAAGTTACTGTTTTAAATTTTGTTGATACTTTTCTGTGTGGATAGTGACAGTTGAGTTGAGAATCATCTTGTAATTCACTTAGTGTATTATTGTGACTATCAATTGGACTCTCAAAGTAAAAGTGCTTTTCCATTAAAAAGAACCTTGTTTGTGATGATGATAATACTGTGTCACAAGATGCTGTTATGAATATTAATCCAGTATGAAAATAGAAAGGGTGTGGTGATTTTACAGTTTAAATTACAATTAAATCGTAGGACAAACTGCATAATGCATTGCTAATTTAATGAAATACTGTAATTTCAAAGAGTAACAAATGTAAAATGCTTAAAGAATTTAGTAAGATAAAAATTTGAAATTAACTATGCAAGATGAAGTCAAGGCACATGTCGTAAAAATGGAAAATAGCGTGTTAAAGCATCAAAAATTTCATTTGATAGTCATCTTGTCTATAGTTTTGATGACTCCTCATGGTATATTAGAGTACTGTATTGTTATTATAGATTAACTTCTAGGGTGGGTTACTGTTAGAGGGAGTTACTAATAGAGTAAAACCAGGGCACTCACTTAACCCTGCGGTCATCAGCCGATGCAATTCTATAAAGAAGTGCAACGTGACGATGCCAAGAAACGCATCGTATTTAAAACCTTTTAACCCCTAGGCCCGCATTAATGCGGGCCGAGCTATCTGTTCAGATTTTAATTTCTTTACTCCATGTTCCAACAAGTCGTGTGGCTGAAGAGTTAAGAGGGTGGTGCTTTTGACAGTCGTGAATAGCTCTGACACCCCCCCCCCCTTTCCACTTGTGCCACCTCCTGGCTACAACTACAGGAGAGAATGATGCTTAAGGTCTGATTTACAAATAATTGGCAAATTAAATGAATCATCATTGCTTGTCTGCATGCCAATCAAATTATAGCTACGGTGGGGTATCTAGAAGTCTTGAAATGGGGGTGCTGAGGAGAGGGGTGGGGTGCGAAGGTGAAGTAAGGGGCTCGATGATCAGTTGAGGGGCGCTAGTTCGCAAATTAAGGTAATTTTAATTATTTGACAGATTTTTTTTTGTGGGGGGACCCCGAGTAATTTTTAGGGGGTGGAAAATACAATTTCTTTAAAAAAAACCAATAAAATTAAACCAGTTTTTATACAATATGATTTACAATATTCTTGTCAAAATAAAAACAGTACCTCCCTCATCAATCAAATAAAGCAATATTCTATTGTTCTGATTAAAAAAAAAAAAAGAAAAAACGCCTGCCCTCAACACTTTCATCACAGAGTGATTAGCTAATAATTTTTTTCTATGTGCCCTAAATCCTCGAACTGAAGCCCTGGCTAGGCTTCTTTTTTTTGCGAACTTTCGATGGGCTTCTTTTCGAGACTACAGTACGTCCTACTTTTGCAAAATATAGAGGGGGCTTCTTTTCAAAATAAATGCTGTAAATTTTGTGAATCTGATACTGTAAAACAATAAATAAGGCCACTGTAACATCAATCTGTATGTAAGGAATGTATTTAACTGGCATTATTCACTTAAACTACTGTATACCAAGCTTGTACTTAATTTATTTTGTTTTCTGAAATTCATGTATGTGTGTATGTACGTACTGTACTATCTCGAAAAGAAGCCTATACTCTTGAAAACAAGACCATGGGCTTCTTTTTGAGGCTAATTTTGCAAGTGGGGGGGGGGTGGGGCTTCAATTTGAGATGGGCTTCATCTCGAGATTAAGCCCGCTGGACTTCAATTTGAGGTTTTACGGTAGACCACTGGCTGCTAGTTAAGCCGATTGTATTGTGAAACCACATTCTTTTGAATAAATTTTTATTTAAAATTTTGGAAAAATGGTAATAGACCTAGGCTATGTGCCCCTGCAACTATGACATTTTATATTAGAAATTTCAATATATTATTTGTGTGACATAATCAAGGGCGTCGATCCGTGGCTGAAAGGGGTGGGGGGGGGTTGACGAGATGAAAAACAAAGGCTTCGGGCCGTGGGTCCAAGCAATGTTTGGGGACCAGTGGCGAAGCCCCGGAAGCTTTGGCGCATATAGCATTTTAATTGATTTTAAGCAATGTAATTAACATTTATTTCCATACAAAATTTTCAAAATATCCAGTGGCGAATCCAGTAATTTGAAATAGAGCTGGGCCCAGAGAGGGACTTTTACAGATGGAGAGTGTAGCTGGACTACCACCTCAGCCCCAACATGGTTGGGGGTGAGGTAAGAAAATTTATGATTATGGCACCTCCAGTTGGTCAGAAATGGCACTCTCAGACTGAATTTGAATATAATTTTAATTTTTCTCCACTTTTAAATTTCGAAAAAAAAGAAAAATAGTGATGGTGGGCCGGCTGGGCCCCTTGAATCTGCCACTGAAATATTCATCATAAAAAGTTTTAAAAATTATCCTTTTTAGTCATAATTATACCCGCTTAAAATATATTTCGTGCAAACTAACATTCATAAAAATAATGATTTATTATTTATTAGGTTGCAACGTATTCAAAATTCGACCTATGAAAAACAAATAAGATAAACTTAAAACAGTCATTAATTTAGTCTTTTTTGCATGTACAGTACTTTTAAAATCAATCAAGAGGTTTTTGCTTTTCTCCTCTTTTTGAATTTCACTTTTGTAATACTGCGCTAAATTTTGTGAGTGGAAATAATACCGTCTAATTTACGATCAAACAGGACTAGGGAGATAGGGAGCACACAAAACATTAGTTAGCATTTTGACTTCACAAACATAAAGGTGATTTACTTAATTTATCATTATCAGTGGTGGCTCCAGGAAAGCAAATTAGAGGGGGGACAGGGAGGGACTTGCACATTGGGAAAGTAGATCACCTCAGCCCCACCATGCATGTTTGGGGCTGAGGAAAGAGAACTTATTATGACACCTCTAGATTGCCGGAAATGGCACTCTCAGACCTAAATTCTTATTATAATTTTCCTTTGTTTTTTTTCCATTTTTTAAAAATAATTTTGAAAAATTTAGGGTCGGCTCGGCCCACTTGAATCCGCCACTGATTACTATGACGTCATTGCGAGATTGCGTCAACGTAACACTGGAGTTGTAAACTTTTGGTTAGCCTGGGTTCCAGGCCCTAATTTTAGGGTACTCACTCTTTATTGCACGATTGATACTCTCCTCCTGATAAGAGCTGCATGACCCAACAAAAGTTGGAATTTGGAAAGTTTGAGGCATCATCTTCTAAAAATATGAATGAGTGAACTTTGAACCGAAATTACCAGTGGAAAAATCCAAAACGGTGTTACGGATGGTTGAGCAACCGTATCTATCTTTGAAAGGCGTCTGTTTTTGATTGGCGATACACAAATGCATCCGGATCGGAGGTAGGAAACCACAAAACCATGCAACGTTTCATATTTAAATTGAAGTGGTAAGCCATTTTAAAATACTTTACCACTAGGCCTTGCTGTTTGCTGCAGCTACGGATTAGTAATAAGAGTCAGCTGATTGCTCTACATGAGTCTGACTCTTATTATTCTTAAATTGTGCCCATTTTTGTGTTGTTGTAGATTTACCCATAATTCCATAGGTTAGTAGTAGTAGAATATTGTACTTTTTTTTTGTTAATGAATGTATCTATGGCTAAGTCTAGGCTAGCCTAGTAGTAGGCCTATATAGATAGGCCTAGCCCTAGTTGTAGTAGGGCTATTTTAGTGCGCCTAGCCTACTAGAGGGCTGTCTCAGCTCCCAGTCCGGGGTACGGGATTGACTGATCAGCAGCTGACCAGAGGCGGCAGTGGTGGTCACTTACTGGTGGTGTCTGGTATGCATCATTAGACACATTCCATCGAGTTTTCCCAGTGTGTGGCCTGCCCTATGTGTAGGCGGTGCGTTGTGTAGGCTAGTTGTAGTAGTAGCTAGTAGGCAAGGCTCAATGCATTGTTGTGCGAGTGCATGGCTTTTGACACGCCTACTGTATATGAATGACTCCATTTATAATAAGAAATTATGCATTTATTTGTTTTCGTCTTGGTAGGTTTGATTGGGAGGGGGCCCTGCCAAACCTGAGTTCCAGTGTGAAATATCCATTCTTGTTAGTTTTCTCAGGCCTTTCTAGCAGTAACAAAATATATTCAAAATACGGACAATAAAATACTGATTAAAATAAGACATTTTATACCATAAATTGATGATTGATACATTTTTTGCCATTTTTTTTTTTTAGTAATTTAATATATTAGTTATTTAGTGGTTCTTTCAAGGCCAGTGGCGATGCTAGGTCCAGGGGCTTGAGCACTCAGCAGGCCGCCACAACTTGGACTGAAATGGGAAAATTTTTTTTCCTAAAATTTGTTTCAATGGGGCATAGTGTATGTACAAATTGTCTCGAGAACAAGCTTATTAAAATCACCCAGTTGTTCTGGCTTATCCACCAGAGCCCCTCAAATAAGCATTTGAAATCCGTAAATTGTCTGTTCCTAGGTGGGCTTTATCCGCTTTCAACATTTCAACAGGAGATTTTAGGCAACACCCTTACCATACTGTACATGTTGCTGTCTCTTATACACATCTAGATGTGTATAAGACCTTGCACCAGGCCTATGCTAATCAACCCCATTGGTCTATGTTGCATATTGTCAGGTCCCCCTTTTGGAGAGCTTGTCCCCATGTTGAGCAAATCATGGTGCTGCCTGAGACTTAAGGCCAACTCAGACAGCGTTGTACGACGCAGCCCGACGCGATTTGTTGTCGCGTCGGGCCTGTGTGAGATAAACGCAGACGCGATGGTGTGCATCGGGGGCAGTCGCGTCGTAGAATATTAAACATGTTTAACATTTCTCAAGAAGGCTTAAGACTGTCCCCGACGATAAATTGGGTCAGGCTGCGTCAGCCTACGCTTTCTGAGTTGGCCTTTAAAATTGGGAGTGATCCTCTATCATAGTTTATAATCTAATTGACCTAAAAAAAGTGTTTCTTACCCGATGACATTGTGATATTGTGGTCGGTTGGTAGGAATTTTTGTTTTTGTTTTTAAAGTATATTTTTTAGGTTCATTGGCCAACCATTACTCACCTATTGTTTTGTTGGTAACCACAGGGCTACAATCAAATGTAATGGTAATTTATTTTGGCCTCGCATGGTAAAAACATACTGTACTTGCTGAACCTAAAATTTCATGTTTGGAATATTCAGGCTTGTGCACATGAAAACCTTTCATGTTTTTTGTATAAATGATTATTTGTTAGTATTGCCCTTTCTGATATCATGTGTTTGTGTTTGATAAAAGAACTGGTTCTCCAAATGTTATAATGCATTTAATTTATATTAATATATATTTCAGGTAATTGACGCAGCATTCTTATGTGTACTAAGCCATTACAAATTACCATAAAAGGCAGTTGTCATGGAGGACCTTTACACCGCAAACGCAGAGGAAATCCGAAAAGACCTAATATCACGTGGCACACGTACATACAACACACCAGATAAGACTTTGCCAGTTATTATGGGGCGTATGCAAAAGGTAATTGACTAAAATATGTTATGGTACTTTAGGAACGTTTTTAAGTAGTGTAGTTCTCTCTTGACAAAATTCCTAATCCATTTTGTAGCTACAGTACACTACTTTTTTGTTCCTAATGAACAATTTGAAAACTTGATTAATTTTGTATACTGTAATTATTAACTTTTAAAATTAAGCAAAGAAATGCTTTTAATATATAATAATGCTTTGCATTATTATTTATTTGTTAAATCATATATTTGTTAAATCTTTGACATATGGGAAGTTGATTTTAATCCCTGTAAAAATTCGAGAGTTAACTAACTATCATTATGCATTTTAAATTTGTACATTTTTAGAAGTTAATAATATTCATTTTGGAACTTTTTCATTCTAAACTTAGATTGGTGACTTTACCATTCAGATATTTAGTAGGACCACCTCAACGGTACAGTAGGACAAAGGTTTCCCTAAGTAATGGTACAAACAAACAAGAAAACAAGAGCATAATAAAATATCCTACTTAAACAATAATACAAACATCTTAGGGAAAATTAAAATTACTACAAACATTCATATTTAGTATAATAGAGGAAGATCAACACCATCCCCATTGACAATTGACATCCCCAATTTTCACAATGGAACATTCCATGGTGTATTGTGTTCAAATTCCCTATTTCTCTGATTACTGTTTACATCACCATTTCTAAGCTAAATATACAGGTATGATTATTACAGTATTATGAAATGTTACTTGTGGAAAAAAACATACAGGATATGAAATATTTTTTTCAGAGAATTTGTTTAGCTTCCTTAATCTAGCTTGCACCACAATGGATACTAGCTGCTGTACTTAACCCAAGGCAACGCAAATATTTATTGTGATTTTTTTATGTATCTATGATACTATAAATTACTGCTGTTTGAGTGATTTCAAACAAAAATTCACCAATCCGCATTCAGTAATATTTTGTCATGTATTTTTAGCGGATTTTCCCCTTTTCTAGTGTTTAGTCTCACTTCCTTGTTTGTATTTAACTATGTACACTTGGTCTGCTTGATCCAATATATTTCAATGCCCAAGTTCAAAGAGATAGCACCTATGAAAATAACACTAAAGCCAGATTAGATTAATTGCATCCAAATAAACATTAAAACAGGATACTTTATAATCAATACACACTACAACAGCCACATAAGTGAGACTAAAAAGAGTTTATATTACTGTAATAGTCAAAGGAAAAATGTGACAAGATTGAACCTAGAATATGAGATTTGAAAGCTGGGCACCTTAGTTAGGCATGAGCGAACCCACTTGCCCGACACCCGGGAAAAGTGTTTTTTACGGTCGGACAACAAGATTTTAGGGACCACTTGTCCGTGGACAAACACTTTTAGAATAGGCTACTTAACCAAGTAATGCGTGATGATTTCACAGTATTTATAAAAAGTCGGACTCTTTACAATACGCAGCATATTTTATTAACAAATTGTCGGCGCACAAAGAGAGATCAAACATAAAAAACTGACTAGGCCATGGTTACACACTGCACTGCATGAATCAACTTATATAGCTATAGCAAAAATACTTACTTTTGTGTTATTATTTTTTATGATTATTGCGCAATAATATTGGGACAAGTACAATTGTCTTCAGGATAAGTGCATTTTTGAAAGGTACTTGTCTGGAGACAAGTGAAAAATTATGAAATTCCCTCATGCCTGTTTGTCATTACCCACATTTCACATCACCTTTCTGCCTTGAGTGTCGTTTTATTATGCGATTGTATCATTTCACGCAAATTGATTCTATTTTGTTTTCCACAGGTCATGATTGTGCAATGTGTACAATTGTTTATTGTTTAAATGTTGGCAAATGTTAATGAGATTAAAGTGCATCTCAACTTTGACACAACTTACTTGAACCAGTTAATTCCATTGTATAGATTATAATATGGTAAAATATTTATTAAAAAATCAAATGTTACGACCTTTAGATATATTATTTCCAGAATGAAATTTTAGCTTATTGGATTATTTTCTTTATTAAGGTCATGTTTGAACAATACTTTATATAGCAAGTATTGCAAGATGGTTCCTTCCAAGTTATGGCAAAATTGATGTACACTATTACAATTGTTCCCAAAACTAGTGTGATACTCAATACTCAGACGTTAGTCATTCTTTCAGTATCGGTATTAAACAGTAACTTTCGGTTGAAACTGTTTACAATTCAGGAAAAGTCAAAGAAGAGGCGGAGACATAAATGGTTGAATACAATAGGATAGGTTATGATACTAAAATAATTTCAAATTTCAAGAATTAATTTTATTTTGGCCTTATGTTGTATTTCATACAATCACAGTGGTCTAAGAGTATTATGTATATTATTAGCAATTCTTTTGTTGTCATCCCGGGAATTCCAGCTGTAGTTTTATATTACCATACTGTACATGTTGTGTACATAAGGAACAATGTAATATTGTATTTATCACAATGTCCAATGGTTTATATGATTATAAGGAAGTAATATAAACTGTATACCATTGTTGATTGTAACTTTTATTCTTGAGGGTTATGCTCATATGACTGACTGTTTAAAAAATTGCAGTTTAAATTAGCCAATCTTGAGTTAACTAGAGTAAAACTAATAAGGATTAGCCAATAGGAATGAAGCTATATGTTGTTTAGCCAACCGTTCAGTGTTCAAGGGAATTACCACATTCGTTTTGAATTACCCGGAAATTCCACTGAGCTGTTATTTTTAGACTGTAGAGCTGTTATATACAGTAGTGGTGGGTGAGTAAATTGAATTCAATGTCGATAATAAGTAACTTCACCGACATTGCAAACAGCGAAAGATAAGATGTGTACAAATTGTTTGTACAATGTTGGAGTACAGAAATATTCATGTTTGGATGTTTGTTTCTCTTTTTTCATTTCTTCCCTTCATTGTATTTTAATGCTATTATCATTGTTGTATGCTTCAAATGCTTTACGAAAATGATTCCAATGAATTTTTTGTATTGTGATTTTGTTTTTATTTGATTCTAATCAAACTGCTAGTAACTAATGACTTGATTATGAAGATTTGTGTCTGATGTTAAGCCAGTAGAATTGTGTTAAACCATTAATGTTGATTTATATAGCGCTGTTTACCAAAGTCTGAAAGTGCTCAAGGCATAGACTAACTTGTATAGTAACTTCCTAAGCCAGTGCCAGCTACTCTACTCTGTCCACTTCAGCAGCTGTTAGTACAAATGTTGGTGTTGGCATGAGTTGAACCCAAGACCTTGTGATTGCAAGGTGAGCACCTTGACAATCAACCTATGTCTTAACAGACTGATACATTTTTAACATAAATTTATGTCCATATTTTTGTAGATGAAGTTTGATAGTGGTGTGGAATTAGATGTTAATAAAGAGCTTGAAGCTAAAGACCAAGAGATTGAGAAACTGAAGTTAGATGTGGAACGCTGCTCGGAGCAAGTATACCAAGTCATGCGAATGAACACCAATTGGCAGCGTTACAACGACCAACGTGAGGTGAAAGATCAAGAAAGAGAGAGAGAGCGCGCTGTTATGATCCAACAAATTAAATTTCTGAAGGAACATGTGGCAATGTCAGAGCAAAAGATAATGGACATGAAATCAGTTTACAAATCCATGAGTGAGGACAGTGTGTTGCGAGCCGAGAATAATGAATTAAGAAAACAGTTAGAAATAAAAGAAGCAGAAAATCGAAGATTGAAGGGCGACTTGCAGCGTAACCAATCTGAAGAAGACAAGACAAAGATTGAGTTCCTTCAGCAGCAAGTGAATGTCTATGTGGAGGATTTCAGAAAGGAACGAGAAGATCGGGAAGCAATACAGGCAAAATATGATTCAACAAGATCAGAGTTATTGGAAGCACAACGAACAATTGACACGCTTACAGTAAGCTAATATTTTCATTTATCCTTCTTTGTACAAGACTCCTTTATTATAACTTTTTTCGCGAAACCGTCTCCTGCTACTTATGATATCATTGTCATGCAACTTCCTGAAAAAATAAAATTACATAAATGCATATAATTAAAGCATTATCAGTCCAATTACAGAATTGTATCACTGCATTATTTACAATTAAGTGTACTATTTCAGCCATGCAGCTGAAACAGAAAAAGATCCAAACATCCAACATGCTTTTAAAAGGGTCACCAAGAGAATTATGGGATAGGGGATAACATCAGAATATCAGCAATCAGAAATAAAATGCGGAACATAAGATTTATATATACATCAGATTTAGATATATACAGTAGATTATAAGATGGTAAATATAAGTTTAATTGTATACAAATAAGTACTGTATATTCATATATTTATTTATGTATGTCTGCATGTACAATATATAGATCATCAAAGAAGGTATATA